AGGAAAGCAAACAAAACAAAAGTTCAAATAGTATTCAAATGGCTCTACGATTGTGAAATGAAAAGGCATGTCGCTCCCTAGAAAGGGACTGATCCAGCCTGAAAGCTTTATACTATCATCTTTCTTTCAAATAGAAACCAGGAGAGAACTAGCTCAGCCTGATTTAGGCTAATCGCATCAGCCCTCACATGGGAGATCTTTGAAAAGCTACAAACAGCAGTACCATTGAGATTACTCAAAGTAGTCAAGGAGAGTTGTCAGTTGACTGGTAACTTAGAAGGGAAGGAAGTTGGGTAGAAACGATTGTTTGAGTTACGAATCTTTCTCCCTTTTTTGCTGCGTACCCCTCTGATCGAAATTACGGAGATTTTTAGTGAATCATACTCCCCTAGAAACGAGTTTCTAGTGTGAGTACGATTCACTAGAAAGGACGTACAACTGCTTCGAATGGAAGACAAGTTGCATCAAATTACCAAACTGCAGACATGATGCTACCCACATAATCGCCCATTAATGGAGCGAGGTTTGAAGGAATCTCACATAGGAAAACCGTTCTCATTGTGGGCATGCCGTTCCGGAAAAAAAAATCCGAAATCTTGTTCAGAGAGGTCAGCACCAAATATGGAAGATGGATTCGCAATGACACATCAGTCGGTGTAGATCTCCCTTCAAACGGATACATCGACGTTCTTCCCCGAATAGAAGCTGCTCTGCATGAAAGTTCGTTCAGTAGGATCTATTCTCTAGATAAAACTCAAGAATAGAGCAAAACCACGCCAGACTCCATCTAACAAATGAGAAGACGGTCATCTTCTTTCACTAGTTACATTATGTTAAATCTATGCAATCAACTTACGCGTCAGAACGACTCTCAAATTGCGGAGTACGTGTTCAGCGAAAGAAATCCATATCGATGGCAGTTCCTGAAGGGATTTGTTCTAATGAATGGTACAAGAGAAAAATAATTTGCCAGCCAGTAGGAAGTATTCTAGATAAAGAAGGGGATAGAGAAGGGAACGGACTTTTTTCAGAATCTAAAGTGTATTACTCTCTGGGGGATTGGAGGCAAAAGCATACGTAGGTCATGGATGCCATCATCGAGGCGATCATCTCCGTGGCGAGAGAGCTTCTCAAACTGATTTGTCCTGACGAATTGCAACATCTTTTGACCCAGCTTCTGTAAATAAGCATCAGTTTCACAGCTAGTTGGTGCTACAACTATGAAGGTTGCTGTTAAGGCGTATGCGACTGGTTCAAGTACTTATTCCTCTCGAGGCCGCAGCCCATTCGCTGGCGCCGAGGCCATTACAAAACCTAGAGCTACGGTCGATGGTATTGTCCCTTTGAAAAGGGAAATAGAACCTCAGTCTTTTGGGTTACAGCGCTATCACACAACTGGCTGGTATAGGCACTCGTACGCTCATCAGCAAACGGCTTGTATGCCACGACAGAATACAGTCATGCTTGGAAAATAAATCGAGTAAACAGACCGAAGTAATGTGGTCATTGGCATTTTTGAAAATTGCTGCTACGCAATGATCGATAGCTTTTTTGAGGACTTTCTCTTCACTTCCTTCCTTTGTGGCAAGGTCCTAGAGAAGCTCTACATCATGGAAATAGGAAGTGGTCGAAGTTCCGATCATTTAACGTTTTCGCCCGCATTTCGCTGTTTTATCCGCTCAATTTTTGCGCTATTCAAACCACTTCCATTTTCTGCACACAACCGAGCGACCGTATCCACTGCCTTTGAACATCATGGGTATCCTTCATCCCAGCAACCAGATATCTCACCTTAAAGCTCCCAATTACAGACGAGGAGTCCTTTGGTGCCGTCACGGATAGGCACTGAATAATATCAAGCATTCTGAAATTATTTTTCTTATTTTCGTACATGTTCAAGATTAGCACTTTGGCGCAGATTGTCGAAAGTTAAGGCATGCCCTCTCGCAATGTCTACTGGATGTTCAGATCCCTTCTTTGAACAAGGAACTCTTTCTCGCAAGCACACATGAAGGACCACCTTGGCAGCTAAAAAAGACGTGAGGAAAATGCCACCCTCTCGCAACTCATGCCACCACCCAGCCCACTGACTGAGTGACCCAGCGCCCGGCTTCCATTTCTAGAGGCTTCCCGGTGACGCCATTCCGACGATTTTTCTGTTTATTCCTCACCACTGGATGACCTCCTACCTTGTCGTTAGTATTTGAGCCGCACAACTCAAAATTTTGCAAGCAGAGCATGTGCTTAGAGGCTAAGCCACCCTTCAAATATGATGAGTTATGCGGCTCAGATTTTAATAACAAGGTAGCAGATGATCCAGCAATGGAGAAGAAGCAGCAAAAACCCGCTGGGAATGCCCCATATGGCAATCCATGCCCAGTTGAGGTTGCACGTGAATATGTCGGAGAGTTTGTTTTGCTTGCGCCGCGGAAGTGGTGCAATCGGTGCCTCTGCGGACCTGACTCCCTGCTCACGGAGGAGGCGGAAATCTCGCTGCCTGCCTTCGAAGGCAGTTCGTACGATAATTTGGTACTCGATCTAAAATGCTAGCAGCTCGCTATATAGTGGGGAAAATGATGAAAAAACGAAGTGAAACGTAAAAAACCTGCGGAGAAAAGCCTTCGTTCTTAATGACTCAAAAAGCAATTTTGGACGAGTTTCCCGTAGGCATCTTGCCAATAACCGCTACGGTAGGTACGGCTGCACGTATGCATCCATGCAGCACCGCGGCCGCTTCATACCAATCCCTTCGCTTCATATTTTACTTAGCAAATGAAGCAATACGAGTACGGTCGTCCATTTGTGGGCGGGCGGGCGTGGTGGGCGTTCGGGTCGGTATGTTTTAGTCTAATAGGGGTCCCTATAAGGAAACCTTTCTGGGAAAACGCTACGCAGCGCCGCTCAGGGTCATGGAATTCCGTCTTTCCAGGCATACTAATCCTACTCTCGTCTTAGAAATTCATCGTTCCA